ACAGTGGCAGCCCACTGCTCCCCGTGGCAGCCCACTGCTCCCCGGGCGCCGCACGGTGGTAGCCCACTGCTCCCCAGGGGGATGGGTTAGATGTAGAGAAGTAATTTCCCTCTGGGATTATTAGAGTATATATATATATATATATATATATATATATATATATATGTGATTCGCAGACTTTAACCCAACCATCTTCGCCTCGTGTGAAAAAGTGATGATGCTCTAAAGCTTGGCTCACCCTTACCTTGCCATGAGTCTTTCATTGCTCTGTCGCCCACATTTTAGCTCCTCCCACCATGTGACGCGTGTTTGAGATAGAAACCCCTCTTTTAGGTCACAGCATCTGACTTGGATTCTGGTCAGGACTTTGACTAGGCCAGTCTAAAATCTTAATTCTGTTTATCTGTGTTTTAGATCGTAGCTCTGCTGCGGAACCCACGTTTTGTTTTCAACATTAGTTCATGAACAGATGGGAAGATGTTCTGTTTCTGGGTATTTTAGTAGGCAGCAGAATTCATTCCATTCATCACAGCCAAATATCCCCGGACCATAACATTACCACCGCCATCTTTAATTGTTTATATAATGCTGTTTTCACCGTGTTTGTTTTACGGCACATTAAATGGGACACACCTTCCTAAAAGTTAATCTTTTGTTTCATCAATCTACAGAAGATATTCACCAAAGTCTTGGTGATTGCCAAGAGTTGTTTTGCAAAATCACATAATAATAATATTAATATTAATAATAATAATTCTAGGCAGCAGTCTTTCATCTCCAGTTTCTCTTGTCTCTTTGTGACAGAGGCAGGGAATCTGACATCAACTGAGGCAAGTAAGGCTAGCAGCTTTAGTTGTAGAGTCCTTTGTGACGTCTTGGATGAGTCGTTGGGATTCCTCGATTTTATTTAGCTAGCCTCTCCTGGGAAGCATTAGCACTTTTCTCCATTCATGGAAAGTGGATCTCATTCTGGTTTCCTTTAATTCAGTTTATTTCTATAGTGCCAATTCACAACACGTCATTTCAAGACACTTTACAGAAACAACTTACCCAGATCATCCAGTCAGATTGGTTCAAAGTTTTCTATCTAAGGAAAACCAGCTGATTGCATCGACTCATTGACTCTTCAGCAATCCCTCACACTAAGCATGCTTCTAGAGACAATGGAGCATAACCAGGGTCAGTGTCGGCGGCCATTTGTCAGACCTCGAGTCCCAAAGCTTTAGAAATTTATTTAAACTGATGATGAGGACAGATTTTACTTTATTTGTCATTTGTTCATGAATCTTTGGATTTAGGTGTAATGTCTTTTAGGATAATGTCTAATGACGTTCTGGCATCCTTTGCTTTGTGGAGGGATCTGTTCAGGTGATAAAAGGTGTGACAGTAATCAGGTGAATTACATCTTAGCATACAGGCCATCTAGGTTTGTTTTCTTTCTATGATAATAAATCATTTAGGAAGCACTTTTTGTATTTACTTGTGTTAGGGTTAGGTTTATTTAAACATTTTGATGTTCTGATGTAAAGTGTGACAAAATAATAAAAAATCAGGAAAAGTACAAACCCTTTTTCACACAACTGTAGGCCATTTAAATGCTTATTGTGAGGAAGAGTTTGAAAAGTTTTGCTTTAAAGGTTTAAATGGGTGTTTTTTTGCCAGTACAACTATCCTATAATCTTCCAACACCTGGACTCGTTTCCGTGTCCCACATTCAACAAATCAGTGTTTCCGTAGAGACAGAATGAGACATGGCGTGGCGTGAGGAACTGATGAATCCAGTCTGTCCCGCCAAGCGCTTCCTAACCTAAAAAGGCCTAGGTATGCCTGCATGAGTAACGGCCGTGTACTGCTGCTGCTGGATGCAGTAGAAATGGTGTAAATACTCTGGGAGGACAGGAAGTAGTTCCATGTAGAGAGACCTTTGCTGTCAAAGTAACGCTGATTGGTTAGAAATAAACAGGACTGATGTTTCTGGCTAAGAACTGAGCTCCACTCTGATCCTCCAGTCTCTTCTCCATGTAGAATAGCTTCATTTGCACAAATTAAATTGGTGATAGAAAATTATAGGACAAAAACAAAGTTAAAATGTTTGATTACACAAGAAAATGAAAAAAGATGACTGTAAATGTAGATGTATTTCCTTTACCAAAGTATTACGATATTTAACTAAATTATTTCTTTAAAACAAACCTGAGACACGATGTTTAAGACATTAAAACAGATGAACTTGATCCATTTTAGCAGCTTTATTAAAACCCTTCATCCTGTAAAGGTCCATTTTTAACAGGAGCTGCACATGGCACTTTTAAAATAAAGGAAACAGATTTCCCTGTAAAGTTCTTTTCATTTGGATTATCTGTTGACCATGCAGCCGGTCTTTCCGTAACACGCCGTCGCCTTTAATCCACTACGTTTCTCAGCTTTGTCTCCTGTTTCTAAAAACCCGGACACCAAATACTAAAACAGTAAGTGATGCAAAATGAGCAGGAACACTGTTAAAGTCTGATTTGTTTTCGGTTTTAACGAACAGGCTAGACTCGTCTGAAGTAGGGTTGGGCTCTGCATGGTTTATCGATCAGGTTTTTTCCTCCGTCAGATTTAATGGTGCTAAATATGAGGGGTCTGATTGATAAAATAAAACAATCTACACAGAAGATTAGGATAGTCGGAGAAGCTGAGGTTAAACTTAATCTCCTCATCTTCCTCCCTTAACATACTTCCCAATGCTAAAGCCATGAAATGCATTATGCATCACATTTGATCCGATGGTTTCTAACGACACAAATGAATGACGAGCGCAGAGCCAACTATTCTGTGGCTCTGTCCGCATTTCCATCTGAATGATGTGCAGCTATTCTTAGATCTGTGGGAGGATAGATGGGCATCATTTAGGTTTTCATTTTCAAAAGCTTTTCTCCTCGCGGCTCGGAGCTATTTTCAATCGACCGTTTGTTAGTGCGCAGGCTAATGCTAATTATGTGCACAAAGCCTACTGTAAATGGTGGCTTTGGAGTTCTTGAAAAAAGGATTTCGACAATGAAAACGTCTTTATGACATGCCCTGCTTTCCTCTGAATACAGGCTCTTCTTTTCCAGCTGAGCACCAGTAGACATTGCTAATAACTTCAAACTGAAATTCAAACTTGGTTGATTATTTTCTAACTAGCAGAACTTTGTTTAAAGGTTTACTTTTGTCCTGATTCAACCTGTTGGGCTTATTTTATTTCTGTTGGATTTGTTTGACTTAAGTTAAGTTTTTTCCACAGAAAGAGTCGTTTGGTCTCATGACAGCAAGGTGGAGCATTTGGGAGGAGCTACTCCCACTGCTTTTCTTTGGAATAGTCTTGTGCAATTGTTTTTCTTGTAATTGTCATACACTGTGAGTAGATGTGTAAAATATTTCGGACATGATGGGAAGGGTTTCCTGACCATGTTCAGCTGCTGTATTACGTTATCTGGCTCTTGCAACCTGTTTTTTGTAGCTTTAATGTGCTTTTGCAACATTCATTGTCCTTAAATGTGCTTCTATTTTATTCCTTTTTATTAACTTGGTGGTTAATCAAAGATAAACTCTAAATTCCTTCTAAGTTTGTCTGGTTTTGGCCTGTTTTAAAAGGCAGAGACATTGGACATATAAATGCCAGAGTTTTTGCCGTTGGATGAAATTATTCATCATTTTTTTTTACTCTCTCACCTTTGAATTGTTTTATTTTTTTAGTTGCTAAAACATCATCAGTTTGTAAAAAGCAGATATTTTATTTAACAGAACAGCTTCTACATAAAAAGAGATTTGGTGAGAACATTTTATTAAACAAGCTAAATGTTTAAAACGTTTTATTAGCCTTCTAAAGCATAATAATATTCTTTATCTGTTATACTTTGCCATATTTTATTCTGCTGTTGATCAACAGTTTTTTTTTATTTATTTAAATTTGGTTGATTTATTTTTTTTTTTTTAAAGGACCCATGAACAGAAAGTAGGAATCTTTGGCTTTTAAAGCTGCTTTAATGATCCAGAATACAATTAATCTCCTTATAAAAAATGGATAAAATGCAAAAAGAGCAGAAATCAAACTTGTAATGTCTCCTCTATCGCTGCGGTTCTTCTGCTTTGGTTCATTTTTCTGTCTAGAAATAATTTCCAGGTTATGATAAATATGAAAAACAACATAGTATGAAAATTGTTGCTTTATTCAACGCTTCAGTATCTAAATAGTCCGACCATTACTCTGTCCAGTAGATTATTGGTTTGCATTTATTTCTTCTTATTCGTTGGTTAAAGTCGTTAAACAATAAAGTTCTGCTACAGTATTTGACCAAAGGAAACCATATTCTAAGGAAAAACCTTTTTGTTGTATTTCTAAACAGACTCTTTATTTGCAACTGATAAAACTTATTCTAATCAGTTTGTGACTTCCCTGATGTTATGAAGTCTGACATAAAAACAGCAAACTGTGAAAGAACCCCCCCCCCCCCTCTATCTGCCTTTAAATGAGCATTTAAAGCATTAAAGCAGCTTCCTGAGACCTTCAAGCAGTCCTCCGGGTATTCCCTCAGTTTCTGCCCCAGTCAGAAATGAAGAGGGGAGTCGCTTCGGCGACGGCTTAGTCACCAGGGAGCCACAGCAGCAGATTTCCTGATTAAATAAGCATGCGCTAATCACTAATGGAGCTGTGCTCCAGGATTAAATCAGATGGATGTCACAATAATAACTGAAAGAGAATGAAGGCAGCGCCACAGGCTCCACTTGCTCTTTTTTAAAATTGTAATTCCTCAGTTTCAGGTAGATTGCTGCAAATGTTAACATGCTTGTTTTTTTGGATTTGTTTAGCTGTAAACGCTCAGTCCTATAAAGTCAGGCAGACTCACGCACGGCCTGGATTTGCTCCTGGAGCCACGAATGCATCTAAAAATAGACTCAGCATTATACATGATATTTAACATAAAGTACAAATGAGAAGCACTGCTAACTGTTGCTTCTTTTTTCTCCTTCCTCAGCGCTCTGGGAGGCTCCTCCGCTCTCCACATCCCAGCCTTCCCCAGCGGAGGATGCCTAATCGATTACGTCCCTCAAGTGTGTCAGTTACTCACCAACAAGGTAAAAGCTGCTGCTGTTCTTTGGATGAGCACAGGGACCCTTTCTGTCACTGCTTCCATTTATTTACATCAGTTATTGTACATGTGGTGCAACGCCTGACTAAAGGTGTGCATCTGTGTGTTCGTGCACGTGTGTCGGCCCAATGCAGCGTGGGCGTTCTGGCCAGCCTCCATAGGCTGTCTGAGTGCTCTTTGGCCTCCGCAGGTTGACAGGCAGATATGCAGCGTGAACGCGGTGTAATGCCATTTCCTTCAAGGCAGAATGCCCATCCTCCTCCTCGCCGCTCACACACAGATTCTCCATCTCTTCCTGTTCAAATTACAGCCTGACCAACAGGAGAAAGAAGATGCATCTGGCTTTGCTTTTAACAAAAAGAAAGAAAAAAAGACTAATTCTGTTCAGGATGTCTTTTTTTTTTTTAAAGAAAAAGCACGAAATGTTCAGTGCAAAACACCTCGAGATCATTACTGCTTGGTTTCAGATCCGCTGTCTTGAAGTGGTTTAGCCGGATCACGATGAACCTCCAAATGATCTATCCTGCAGAGCCCAGCCTCCTCCTCAGACCACTAAAACTTTACAACATTCAACCAAAGCAGGGAAACGTAGAAACAAAGCTGTAACCTGTCATCTAACTGGAATAAATTACAGAAGGGAAATAAACACGCTGCTTTCTTAAGAGGGAAGCTAAACATGTTGAGGGATTTTCTGAAAGCAGGTTTTTCTCTTTTGTTTCATCTCAAGCAGAAATATTTACACATCATCTATCCGAGCCGTCATGCGTTACATTTCCCCTTCGATCATCGTCACCTCGATATGTTCCACCTCTAAACGGACAGACGTAGACTCAGCTGCTTTTGTATCAAATCTAACAATATTAAGAATATGTCTGTTATAATATAAGTTACTAAACAACGTAGAAACTAAATAAAACCTACACTCAACTAACATAATATAATTACACATTTTAACTGTAAAAACTGGCGTAAAGAAAACCAACAAAAGGCTTCAAAAGTCAAGATATCAACATATTTGAGGACTAAAAGTTTTCATCTCTGTTAAAATTGTTCATATTTCAGCTTAAATAAGAAATATCCTAAAGAAAGAAAATCATTTTCATACTTTTTCACACAAAAAAAAATAAAGTACTAATTAGGTCAAAGTTTTCTCCAGGTTGAATATTTCTAATTGGGCCATTGAGGGAATCCATAGGAGATTTTTATTTTACATTTTTAAATAAATCAACTAGTTGTAAAAATCTTCATAACTATGTTGAGTAAATGTCTAGTTTGACCAACTGTCATGTCTGCCTCCTGGTTAATGGCGCCGGTGCAACATATGGATGCCAGGATATTTAATGCATTATGTAAACAAAGAGCATCAAGCATTGCTGAGAACATCGTGACTCATTAGTGATTAATCGCTTCCTAAAACCAATCATCCTGTCAGAGAAGAACCTTCATTAGAATATTCCCTTAAAGGTGGAATATGATGCCGTTAAACAGACCGTTCAGGCTTAGCTGTTAAATCCGTCTGAAACTAACCGTCTGCAGCTGAGTGGAGACATTTTAGATCTGCTTTATAAATGAAAACCTTTAACAGAGACTTAGATGTTCGGTTATAGAGTTTAGAACAATTTAAATAGAAGTCAGATTAGGACTCATAGAAACTCATAGAAACATTTGTTTCTGATTGTTGAATCTTCCTCGTTGTGCTAAAGTTGTTTTTGGTTTTTAGTAAACCTTTAGGACAAACTGATATTTTAAGCAGTTTTCCTGCAACAAAGTAACATTTATGAGTTTTTCTATAAACGACACTCTACAGAAACCATCTTACTGAAAGTGACGTTAGAGATGCGGTGAGGAGCTCGGTCATCCGGTAGATGCTGGAAGTAGAGCCACTGCTCCTCCACATGGAGAGGCATCAGCTGAGGAGGCTCTGGTTTTTCTATGGGACGCCCTGGGAGCGCCCTGCGTCGGTCTGGGAGCGCCCTGCGTCGGTCTGGGAGCGCCCTGCGTCGGTCTGGGAGCGCCCTGCGTCGGTCTGGGAGCGCCCTGCGTCGGTCTGGGAGTCTCTGCAGGCATCTGATCTGATCCCCCATAAGCAGAAGATGACGAGCGTAGTTCTTCCTTTTTTCTCCCTTTCTTCTTTCCTTTGTCTTTTCCTTCTTATTTCCTTTCCTTCACTCTGTCCTTCCATAACTCAATCATTTCTCCTTCCTTCTTGTTTCCTTCTTGTTTCTCCATCCTTTCTTCTTCACCTGCACATTTCCTTCCCTTCTTCTCATTTCTCTCTATCTTGCTTCCCTTTTCTCTTGTTTACCTTCCTGCTTCCTGACCTTTCTGTCTTTTTTTGTGCCCCCCCCCATCTTGCCCTGATTCCCATCCTTTTCTCCTTCCTTCCTTTTTATTCCTCCATGCTGTTTGTGCAGGTTTGTTATTTCAAAGCATCTGATAGGAAAACCTGCACTAGATTTCTAGTAAATGTTTGGAAAATCGACAAAGTCGATTCAGAAGTCTTCTGAATTCTGGGAAAGTGTAAATGGAAAAAGTTTGAAGAACCGGATTAGATGCTAGCTCTGCAGTTATTCTATCAGTATCGTCTCTGTTTTTCAGCCCATCTAATGATCAGACGTCCAAACAGCATTAATCTCTATAAAAAGAGGAAAAACAGAGTTGTCTCCTCTCTGATGTGAGGGTCAGAGGTCAGTGTGAATGGAACTGCAGTAAAAACGACCTGCTTTATTGCATCATCCTCCCTGCAGCCATTAGCAAACAGTAACTGGAAGCTGAGGCGAGCAGCCATGGGCGCGGGCAGGTCCAAATACCTGCACAGCAACCTCACCTTGGTTGCATCACCCACGGCTGCAGGCGGCCAATGGGAGGTGGAGGCACAATGACAGCAGCGGGGGTGTGCAGGAAGCCCATTTTCAGACTGCATGAAAGTTCAGTGATCCACAGTTCCTTAAAAACACAGCAACATGTTTGTAGTGTAATGAATATGTGGCCTTGCAGCTGTTTTCAGAAAGCAGCCGCCTCCACCGTCACCATCACAACTGAACGGAAGCTGGAGACACAATGAGTGTTTGAGTTCTTCTAGAGACGCCACCAATCAATGGAGCACAGCTCCGTGTGTGTGTGTGTGTGTGTGTCATATATTACTACTATTACAAAACACTATCAGTCATACATGAAGGTGAGTAATGTGCAGCTTACACTGCAGAAAATGATGAAACATCCTCCTGCTCTAAACACGCTGCATAAACCTCCATCAAACAGTCTTTATAGGTTCCTATGATTTCACTTAGAACTGGAAAGAGAAACTGGATACATGCATGGCTGCAGGTAGAAGTAATGTTAGGCTGTATTAATTATAGGCCACACACACACACACACACACACACACACACGACATTTTAAAGCCATATATGCTACTTTGTTCTTTTCTTAACGGACTCTTGCAGACTGATCCTGATTAACAATCCTAGATCTGCTGTGAAAAGTTTTCTAAAGTCTCTCTTGCTCTTATATTTGGACCTGATCCTAAACCGGCTCCTCAGCGCTAACCCTGACCTAACCCTGTGTTTGCACGTTCCTGCAGCAGGTGCATCACGCCCATCCTAAAGCACGTAGTGGGTAGGGCGAGTTCAGCCCTTAAAGTGCCCGTCTGCATCCATGCAGCCTCCCTATTCGGCAGCAGGTGTAACAGCGGCCTGATGGCGGAGGAAACGCCTACATTTCCTTCCACCGGTTTGCTGCATCTGCGTCACAATGACAGAAGTTAGAAAAAATACAAAAAGATCCATTCATCGCTAAACGCTGGGGTCCTCTTTGAAGTTATTATATTTAACGGCATAAATTCATTTTGAAGAAAGGGGCAAATGTTATGTTCAGCTGCGCCACAGAGCTACATCCATCCACATGAGGCGTCACTGTGTTGCCATAGGAACAGCTGCTTTCCCTTTCCATTGGAGGCCGTCCCATTCATACCCGCCTTACGTACAATCCAGGCACCTTCCACAGCTGACAGTGTGACCTTATTGCCAGTGACACTTAATGGTTAGTGGTTTGGGATTCAGCGTTAAAAAGCTGCAAAGCCATTTCAGGAGATTAGGCCACTTTAATGTCTCCATTTGGATCCAACTCTTAGCAATTGTTGCTTGTTTTATGGTTTTAAAAAGAATAAAAATGGTCAGAAACTCTTTTAAATGGACCATTTCTAAGGAATAATCAGATTTTTTTGAAAGGATACAGTTTGTTGTCCTGTTTCTGATCAAACCTTCCTTTCTTTTTGTCCAGGTTCAGTACGTCATACAAGGTTATCACAAGAGGAGGGAATACATCGCTGCATTTCTTAGCCACTTTGGAACGTAAGTCTGCTTTCAAATCATTATCAGTTCTCCATGATAAATATGAAACGGATTCAAAATGGCGCTGCGTGTTTCAGGGGGGTGGTGGAGTACGACGCAGAGGGATTCACCAAACTGACTCTCCTCCTCATGTGGAAAGACTTCTGCTTCCTGGTGCATGGTAGGGAAGTTACAAACATGGTGGAGGAGGTTTTTCCAGGTGGATCATCTAAATAAGTGGTCCTCCTAAATGTCAATCATTCTGCTCATATGTTTATTTCTACTGGTGAGTCTGACATGCTGGAAAAATTCCAAATCTTCTGTTGGAAAGTAAGCTTATAAGAGCGATGCAAACAACTTTTACTCTGCAAAAAAATAAAATATAAGTATTTTTTTCTTAAAATAAGTGAATTTCTTCTTGAATTGAGGAGGAAAGCGACAGTTTGGAACGAGATGATTTACATTTAATATTAGAAAAAAAACAATTGCATTGTCTTATTTCAAGAGTAAAATTACTCATTTCATTGGCAAACTGTCTTATTTACCTTCTCAAATGAATTGTAAATACACTTACTTTGTTTTTCCAGTGTAAACAGAGCGTGCACGAGGATAAATGGGCTTGTGCACGCTCTCGCACGCTCATTGTCTTGATGCCAGAAAGAGGCCAACAGATTTTACTTTCCCAGGTGGAGCAGTATGGCTATCGCCATGATGATGCCTTGATTTATGCTTATAAATACATTTATTATGATTCATGCAGGAAGTTAAACAGATTCTATGGACACTGCAGGGGAAATAGAACAGGAAAGGAAAAACAGAAAAAAGGAGAAAAGATGAAAGAAAGAGGAGATAAAATGGAGATAATGATAAAACATTTTCAGTCTCCTTCATCAGCTGCAGAGAGATGGAAAAAGAACAGAACAACCAACAGATATAAGAGATATAATAAAGTAACACCTTGATGCTGTCGCTGAGGTATAAGTAGTATTATTTAGTCTGATGTATAATTTTTTTCCTTTTAAGTGGAGAGGGCGGGGCTTTAAAAACTCCTCCTTTAACCTGAGGTTTAGTTTTTATTTTCTCTAACATTTATCTCCTTGTTTTTTCTCTGCAAATCGCAGTGGATCTTCCGCTGTACTTCCCCAGGGATCAACCCAGCCTAACCTTCCAGTCCGTGTACCACTTCACCAGCAGCGGTCAGCTCTACTCTCAGGTGCAGACGTCATACCCCTACAGCCCACGCTGGGACGGTAACGAGATGGCTAAAAGGGCAAAGTAGGTCAAACCTGCAGCGTAAAGAAAATACGGAAGAGCTCCTCTAAAACCTCTGTCTCTCTTTCAGAGCGTACTTCAAGAGCTTCATCCCTCAGTTCCAGGAGGGAGCCTTCGCCAACGGGAAACTGTAGCTCTGCTGACATTTGCTGGAGTGCGTCTGAGTGTTTGTGCTCTAGTGTCTCTGTCTGCACTTTGAATCTCACATTGTTCTCACCGAAGCTTCGGGGAGAAGCCGTTTTTCTGTAGAAATTGTTTTCTGTGGCATCATGAAGATTCGTCACAAGTGTTGACAGCTGAGTAAAAAGCGTTAAATCTTAAAACTTTTGCAGGAAATGAAGCTGACAGCTTGTATTGTACTTTTTCTTACAGTAAATACTGTTTTGTTTTGTGTGTGACGTCTAGAAACTCCACGCTCAGAGTTATTTGCTTTAGAAAGAGCTGAAAGAACAAGCTTTGTTTACTTGCTTTCATCACGTTCTCAGTTAGTGCTCAGCTGATGATGTTAGATATGTTTTCTATTCACTTAGCTGTTTATTCCTTAAATGGTCTCTTTCTGAAATGTTCATTATATTCATTTAGTAAAACAATGTTTCCTCTGATTGTTTTAGTGCATTGAATAAATCTGAGATTTAAAGAAATTATGGTTTAATTCTACATTAAGTTGGGGACATTTTTTTTTACATACATTAAATATTTAAAGAGGTCAAGAAATGATAAACAGAAAAAAAACACATGAGGCTTTATTAATAACTCAAACCTTAACAAACTTCACTATTTGGAAAATAAATATTCTTATTTTCAGGATGCTTTGACTAATATAAGTTTCACAGAACTTCATTTTTTCTGCTAACTTAACACCGAAAGCGGAAATGTTTCAGTCGTTCTACCGTGTCGTTCTACCGACTTCAATAACTGATGATTTTTCAATATCCTGTCGATCATTTACTGTTTGCTGATGTAGGAAATGTTGCCTGTAAGTCGGAGGCTGCAGGAAACTATTTTGGTCTGATCGTGTTTCCCAAGAGCTAACTATGCTAAACGGGCGTAAGACATTTAAGCCGCTTCCCTGCTGAACACTCAAAGCTAGCTTGACCCGCTAACGATCGTCTTTCTGCTATTTGTTCTATTTCATCGGCAAGCTGCATGGCCACCGTCCCCCGACACTGGGTGTCTGTTGACGGCATCACTCTGCGTGAGCGTTTACGATGTCGACAGCGGAACAGAAATCAGGGAAGTAAATAATGGAGAGCAGCATGGACGGGAGGCAGAGAGTCGTCAGTATTCATCATTATTTCGTTCTTATCTGTCCGAATCTCTTTTCAGTGCTGCACCGTTTTTATCGACTATGAACAGAGTTTTAGATCAGAAGCTGCTGCCGCGGCGTGCTGACGTCCGTACGATGCGTTCAATGGTGTCACGTAATTTAGCGGGTCAACCCGGGTCTGGTGTTCGCACAGAATGCCGATCAGAGCCGAGGGGATTTTAACGCGGGTCGCTTGCTGAGCTGTTTGACCCGGCTAGTCCGTGAGCTGTTTGCACTGCCACTAATAGCCAATTGTTCACCAGTTTAAACTGGTTTTTCATCCAGTGTGAAAGAGGTATAATAAAAATGTATTTAGACTCCCTGTAATAATCCAAACACACTGAAACACCCAGCGGGAAAACAGCTTCGTCGTTCTTTTAGAAGATCATATCTCAATTGGCAGTGTTCAATTTTACTAATAGTTTATTCCATCAAAAAGAAAAATACAGAAATTAGAGGCAGAAATAAACCAAAATGTAATCAAGAAATATTAACCCCCCCCCAGCTTAAGTTTTTTATAAAGTACTTTACAAATTCAGGGTGGAAAACAGTCCAGAGATATTTCTATATAAATATATTTTAAAGCAGGATTTTTTCATCAACTGTCTACTGTACTAAAACATTCCTAGTGTAATCTAATACAAGTAATCTAGAGATTACTTTTAATATGTTGGAAAAAGAAGTGACAATATTTAGATTCATAGTGATTCTCCAGACTCCTCAACTTAAAACTGCCTCATTTCATCAGTTTTTAGAAGAATTAGTAGATTTATATGAAAACGAAGTTCTCTAAGCACAGCCGGTATAATGTTCTGTGTAAGCATTCATTACGGCGCGGCTCATACTGGAGAGAAAATACGAAAAATTTAATTGAGCCTGTTTGTTGTGGGGAAGCTGGGAAATAGCTCGAGCGTTAAACCTGCAGTTAATGGGGAAAAAAACAAGCCTCAATAAGGTAAGAGTTATGAACACATTTAATTACTAAATAATGTTCCACATTAACGTCTCATTCAAGCACTTTTCCAAATAAAGCAGTTTGCTGCAGCAGACATCAAGGTTTTCTGAATGTGAAGAAAGGAGGGGGGGGTCTGTGTGTGTGTGTGTGTGTGTGTGTGTGTCATATATTACTA